CCTTTACACAAATCCATGTTGTGCACCATTTTGGGCACATTCCTGGACTAGGAGGCCTTACTTACAATCACTCATGCCTTAGTTACTTCCTGATTTGATTACAGTATTGCAATATGCTCTACATAGGGCAGTTGTTGAAGACCATCTAGAAGCTGCAACTGATCCAAAATGCAGCAGGTTGCAGAGGTCTGGATGCTTCATGGTTTACTCATGTTACATTGCTGTTGCATGAACTGTATTGGTTGCCAGCTGCTTTCTGGGTGCAATTTAGGGTGCTGGTTATCACCTTTAAAGTCCTACATGGCACAGGGCCAAGTTACTTGTGGGATCACCTCTCCCTGAGGGTATCTACCTATCCTACTAAGTCAGATAGGGTGGGCATGCTCCAGGTCCCTTCCCTCAATGTTGTCATCTGGTGGGACATCTTCCCTATAGCTGCCCTGGTCCTTTGGAACAGCTCTTATCTGAGATTCAGGGAGGCCTTACACTTTTAGCCTTCCAGAAGGCTGGAAGACCTGACTCCTTCCTCAAGCACTGGGCTAGGATGGAGATGAGTCAGGAGGTCAACAGCATGGGTGGTTTGGCACCTGGCGGGATATGATCTGTTTTTATATTGCTGTTTCTATTGGTTGTTGTGAGCCACCTAGGATCACTGTGTGAGATAGGAGGCCATACAAGTTCCATAAACAAACAAATTAGTGCCATTGCATGGCTGTTATTGTATGTTACATGTACTCCATGGCAGTCCACCAACCATTTCTGGGTGCTGCTGCCAGAAGTTGATTCCTTGGTTACTCACTGTCAGCACTGACATCTTGTTGCAGCACTTACTGAGGCTAGAGCTTGCTTATTGTTGCTCACTGTCTTGTACTTTACTCTGTGCTGCCCTCCATGCTTCCAACTTGTTAGCCATACTATTTCTGAACCTGGGTTTAAACATTTTTTCAAAAGTGTTCTAGACCCATGTTCAGAAACAGTCTGACTGACTAGTAAGTGCATGGAGGAGGGATTGTGGCAAATAGAAATATTGAGAATAGCTGCCACCTGTTAGCTGTGTAACTTGGTTCTTTCTTCCTGAGCTCATGTGAAATCAGCAAGACATTTGAATGCCCTATGTTGCACATTTTTCAAATTATTTCTGCATTGTCCTATCAGAAACTATAAAATGGAAGATGCTTTAGTTCTTTCTCTTCAAAGCCCCAAAATGTTCAATTTAACAAACTTTGTGTCAATTCTGAAACACAAGGGGTAGCTGTGCAACCAAGAAATCTTAAATGTGGGGATAGTTTTAATGAGAAATTCCCTTGTTACACCAATGAAAACAAATGTCTACATGTAAAAAAAAAGTTGATTGAGAAAAGGCAATAAACTTTTTACCAGTTATATGCCACTGCATAAAAAGATATGAGGGAAAGTAAAAAACAAACAAAGTAATTAATCTATTCATAGCAATCAGCTTGGGGTCAACTTAGCAAACATACCAAACCAAACACTAGCAGTTTGTTAACATAGACACCAAGGTTGGAGTCCTTTGTGGCCATGGATTCACCTTACAAATCTGTCAGGCCCTTGCCTACCAAGTATTTTTTTAATTACAAGAAGTAAATGGAAATCTGATTTGTTGCAAAACAAAACACTGTATAATCTTTATTTCCAAAATGCTTCTGGGCCTTTTTTTCCCCCTCTTATTTTATTAGTAAGTTTGCCAAATTATGGACTTGAAATAAATAATCTGCAAAGAAGGTAGGATGGTTGGGAACTAGTAAGGAAGTTATCAAAATAGGTTATAGTTCTTTTCAATATCTCCAAGCACTATATAGCCCAACATATCCTTTGAAAAAACTTGAAAATATCACATCCATGCCAAAATAACATGGGAAAGGATCCTGATAGGCATATAATAAATATAGCTTGACTTCAGTTTATAGTATAGGCTGGCTTAATTCAAACAAAATACACACATGCTCAGACATCTATTAATCAATTTTCAGGTAGTCCTCATTTAGCAACCTCAGTTGGAACCAGCAACTTGGTTTTAGTGAAGCAGTTGCTAACTGAAACCATGACTGTGCTTACGATCTTACTTCAGCTTTCCTTTGCTTTACAGGCCTGTGAAGGTCGTAAATGCGAGGATTAGTTGTAAAGTTACTTTTTCATCACTGTTGTAACTGCGAACAGTGCTAAACGAGGCAGTTGTTAAATGAGGACTACCTGTATTTCTTAAACTGATTTATATATATTTGCATGCATGTACACACACACACACATATATTCTGTTAAAATTGAGAGAAGATAGATTACAATTTGTCAAGTCATTGCACCATTAGGCACATGATTTGTAGAATGTGTAAAATCATGGGGTTTTGTAGATCAGTGTCAGATGCTCCACTTCTTTGGTGAGGGGTTACAGATTGGGTAGATCGAATGGGAGAGCATGTAGGAGTGCATCCCTGTGCCTGAAAAAATACCTGTCAGAGTAGTTTGACAGGGCATCACAGAGAAGAAATTGCTCAGAGTGATGCAGCTGAATTGATGTTGTTCCTTAGGTTATGGAGGTTGGAAAGCTATCCATCATATAACAATTTCCAATAAAGACTTTTAAGAGCATAAGATGCTCTTTTTTTTTTTTTTTGCTGGAAATCTCATCCTAATAAAAACTTGAGAGAGCTCTCATTACTCCAGTTTTCAAATGGCTTAAAATATCACTTTCTATTTATGGACATGACAGTCTTTCTCACAATTGAATGGACCAGAACATGTAACATGAAGACTGGACTTTTGATAGCATATTGCTTTGTTATTTTGTCAAAAATACAGTATTTTATATAGCTCTGATTACTTTTAGCAAATGATGGTGTAGTAGCAGGGCTGAGCCTGTGGGATAAAAGGTGGAAGGCTTAACCTTCTCCCAGAAGTCCTCTGGATTTCATACACCCTGGTCTACCTTCCAGCCTTAGTGTAGCTGTTTGGTAGTTATTGTTACAACCACTTATCTTCCTGGGGTGTGCTCCAACCTTGCATGTTTCCCCCTTAACACCAAAGTATAAGAGTAATAGAACAAATAGAACCACCACAGCTATAGCCTTGCTTGTAAGTAAAATGAGAAAATGATGAAATAATAAAATAAATTCTAGAGCATCATCTCCTCATTGTTGTAGCTTTGAAGTGTGTGGCTAGGAAGAACAGCCCTCTCCTTTGGGAGTTAGATCACAATCTTAGAGAACAATCTAACTCCAAATAAACTTTATTAAAAATAAGAAAAAAAGAAATGTAAAACATCCTTTTTAACTTCTTGTAGTCAAATGCAGAAAATGATCACTGGGAAAGATAAACATTTAGAGTTGCTCTAAATGACAGATAACAATTTAGAAAAAGGTTTCCCCTGAAAAATATACAGAACATCAGACTCTGAGGAACATCTAAGATAGTCCCAATTTGCTCCCACTTGAAAGCACTCTGATGTAGGAAGGTGCTACTTTGCATAAATCATACAAAAACTAAATATGTTCAGAGGAGATAGATTATCAGGGACAAGAAATTAACAGTGCGTGCGCACACACACACAAACCAAAAGAAAAGAATGACCTTAGTGTAATGCTAAGTGGACATTTACCTATCCCTACCCAAATTCTTTGAATCCGAAGTTCCTTCCAGATTCAGTTTTGCTTGTCTTTGCTATTTGGTTTTCTGGAAGTTCTAAACTTAAAATTGAGGCTGAAGGGAGATGTTAAACTCCCTGGTTCTTGGCCTCTTGTCTAGCAATTTTTGGTTGCTCCACACCCCCCCCCCAAACGTTCTGCTTCCAGTAGTTTCAGATACAGGGCTTTTGTCA